GGGCGTATACGCAGAAAAATGGTTTCCACGTATCTATTGATGTTGTAGTAGCACTGTTGTTACCACAGCACTGAGGAGTGATTTTTATCCTTTAGTGTGCAATTGTTTCATCTGGCTTGAAACCTTTTCCCGTTTTAGACAATGTTTTCGCGTACATATTTCTATTCAATCACACATCTTACCTTAATTTTTCATATCTGACTTACCAAGCTCATCCAGTGTCTTCCTCTTTGTTAGGAAGCTATTGGGCATTCATCTCCACTGAACTACACTCAAAAGTGCGTAGCATTAGTTATCAGAATAGCGTTGAAGGTGGTTTTGGTTTTTTTATTCGAACCTGGGGAATATTTGACTGATTTAGAAGTTCTATGTAGCTAACTGCTATNTAGAAGTTCTATGTAGCTAACTGCTATCTCATCTGTCAACAGATCCCATATTTCTGTGCCGAGTAAAAGGTTTATGTATCTACTTTGATCGTTGTTGTTTCTGCATTTGAATAAATTCCGTTCATCATGATTACCGAGCAATTGTTCATCTGATGTCGAATTATTTGAATCTGGAGTTTGCTGGAATGTACTCTGTTTATAGTTGCAACTATCGAGTATTGTTCACTCGTTTCATTGAATGAATCAGCTTATTCTGCTTCGCACTTCACTTCCTATACTACCAAGCGTCTCAAATTCCCCTTCTTGAGAAAGCTCTACACCCCGCCTTTTCGTGGCGTACGTGTTTCCTCTCCAAAGTGAGGTGACGAAAAACCAAAATCCGGGACGACAACCCTTTGTTGAACCATTGGCAGCTCATTTAAGGGAGTTAGTTGCAAACTCTTATTCCAAACCGAGCAAGTAGAGGCATACGAATCACACCCACCCATATCTTCTTGTTTGTGGCAGTAGTCACCGGCTTCATTGATCATCGAGGTGAATCATGCAACTTGGACATTTGACCNNNNCCCTTTCCAAAGGGTGTATGATCCGATAACCTCAACGTACTGCGAGTTTCACACACACAACACTTCCGCCTTGTGAGTCAGACCTTGGCTATTCGAAGGTTCCGGTGGTGAATTTCTCACGAAAATTCATATGCTTCGGCCAGGGCTACCTAGTAGTGTTTCATCTACTCCTAGGATTATTGTACCTTGACTTGTTTGGTGCACACTCTGAGCCCAGACGCATGTGGTATATATATATATATACCTGGGGTAGTTCCATCCGATTGGCTGCTTAACTCATCCAAACGCGTTCCGTTCATTTCGTTTTCGATAAATCCCCGTTGTCGTCTTCCACACTCGGTTTTATTTCATATGGTTCATACATTTATCAAAGTACACTCTTTCCATCTACAGTGGCGGAAGATCATGCTCGAATTCCCCATACCGCAAGTAATTTTTTTCATTCCTATTTGAATCCAAATTTAATTATTTGGTTATCGAGTTTCTCGATTATTTGAATGTTTCCTACTCCATTTTTTTTACTTTGGAGACTTCGTGGGTGTTATGTGCTTTTCCCGATTGCGTAACGTCGATTGATTACCATTAAACCTGTTAATTTTTCACCCTGTTGAAGAGGCCAGTGGTTGGTACCCATGCAATCATTGATTTTTTCCGGTTTTGTTTACGCTCGGATTTCTAGGTCCCCCGACGGCCAATACTTTGCCAGCGTTGGTGCGGATAATCGGCTCTGTGTTTTTCGTATGTCAGATCCCCTACTGATAAGCGTATCTGGACAACCTATGTTGCCGGAAGTCCCAACTTTGTGGGGTCATGTGCCTATGGCCCACATGGAAGATATCAATACACTCAGCTGGCATCCTGATTGTGAACGGCATGTCGAATCAGATCCGGTCAATCTCGGAAAGACCAAACGTTTGTGCACAGCCGGCGATGATGGAATAATTCGTTTCTGGTCCATTCCACTTGCCATCACTGCCAATGGTTCGGAAGTGGAGGTTGATTAAATTGTACTAGGAATGCAAAATGTCTCAGCTCAGGGTTAATCACCTGTTCCCTTGTTCGACTTCGTATGCGGATTCGGTGCGCATTGAATCGATGCGATAGAAGATCATTATTCTGTATCGGGAACAAGTTATTTGTATCTTCGCTGGTCAATCCTCATCATGATTGAGTGATATTCTATTTTTTATTCGTCACAAACAATAAAATATAAGACGGTATTGTGTACCAATACATGATTCTGCGAGTTTTGTCAAAATGTCCAGTGGCCTGGAAATTGTTATTGTATTGGTTTTAGTTTAGGTGAATACTAGTTGGTGGTTTCATCTTATTATCTCGTCGTACCAACCAATAATGAGGGTAGTTGGAAACGTATCCATCATACGGCAAGTTCATGCTTCTGAATGAGGTTAAACTGTCATCGATGGAGGCATTAATATTCCCGAATAGAGTCTCCAGCAAGCGTGAACATCGTCGAGTGCAAACGTAGGGTAGCTGTTTTTGGTTTGAACACATGTTTTGATACAATCGACTGTTTAGTTTCCGCTATTCGACGAACGAACTCAACATGTCACCGTATTGAAGAAACTGCAAAATGTGTTACCTAAGGACGCAGATATTGCTGCTATCTACCGGTTACTGTGGGTAGTTTTTTTATGCAAATATCAATCGTCTATTGCTTGACTCTTTTGTATACCTGTGCGTTCAGACGAGATTTCAGAAACAAAAGGCGACGTAGTTTCGAACTTTGCTCATGTTCTTATTGCTTCGTCTGTGATTACGCTTAGTGTATTATGGAATCGGTTGACTCTGTATTATGATGTAACCGAAAGAATCAACGCTTGTGTGTCATCTACCGTATCGAAGGCCTTGGCTGTGCACGTTTGACTTGTAAAACAGATTATCATGTTCGTTGCTTTGGGATGATCCTAGGAAGGTCTGTGCTTCATATTGATGAAGCCATCTACGTAATCACTACCCTCACTGGAACTGTTTCTCTTGAGCCATACCTCGAATATCGTGAGATGTGATTGACTACGGTAATATGATGCCTGAAAGTAATTTCAGGGAACAATACAAAGTATCCCAAAGGCCAGAAGCGAATTGTACAATTTATCCCGAAATTTGTGTCGATAGTTGTCACAAGTTCTTAACTTGCTTCAGTTTTTTATCTATCTAATAGATCACATTGACTAACTGTCCTATGGGACCATGTGTCCTATTTCCAGAGGAACCACAGGGTTTTTTATGCGGGTTCGATGCTATTCCGGTAGCTGGTGTGACTCGGACAGTGGGCCGCGCCTTCTCTAGAGGGAAGTGTTCATATTTGCTTGAATCACTTTTGCTGTTATAAAAATATTGTTTACTTTTATCAATGGATGGCTAACGTCGTACACATCC